AGGGCGGTTTGGGTTTTCGTAGGTTTGACCCGCATGTTTGAATATGAGATCACCCCTAAGTGAGTAAGCGTCCTCTAATAATAAAAAAAAAATAGCATCCCCAGGGTACCTTATTTGACCGAACCCCACACAAAGAAGATCGCTGATTCTGTTCTAAACTTTTTGGATTTCGACATTCCCACGATATATCCGTGAGAGAAAAAGATGTATAATAATAAGGTTATTACAAGGATAGCGCAAAGTATGCACTCAGACAGTACACCGTCACATTGAACACCGCTGCACGTCAGTCGTTACTCCTGCTGTACTGTCCTCGTAATGACCTCATAGTCACATACATACACAAATTTCATAAAACCATAAATAAATAATCATAATTCCTTGTTTATTTATTAACTCTTTGAGTTCCATAATATTTCCTGCCATAATTTCAGGATGACATTTTGCACACTTTTTATAAATTTAACTTTAATTCATAATTTGAATAAAACCAGAGACATGATTGATGAAATGAATACCATATAGGAATTATGACTTGTCTAAGTACCAACTTTGACCAAAAATGTTAAAGACAAATAAAAATAAAACCAACATGGCTGCAAGTCAGTCGTTTTGATTCAAATCTAAAAACAACTTGACGTGAATCATTAACCCACCATGTAAATACCAAGACTAAATGAAATTGGTCAAGGCATGCCGGGACAACTTATATTTTTTTGAAGCGAACTAGTCACCAGTTGGTCAAACATCAAGGTAACAAAAAACAAATGAGCATGTATATATGTCAACAATTATGACTCTTCTTCATACCTATTTTAACAAAATCAATCCATGCAACCCAAAAACAGACAGAGACCAAAAACATTGGTGAAATCCAATTTTTTTTCACCCATTTCAAAATATATCATATATCTACCATAATTGGTTGCAAGAATAAATTTTCATTTACATGTACAATTATTAAATTGGTTACCTTCTAAGAGCTGACTTTTTTGGATCGCTGTTTAAACACAAGTCAAGGTGAGCATTGATGTTCTTTTCAAGTAACGTGACCCCACACACTGGGCAGTTAGCTAAAAATAAGAGTATAATAAGGTTATTACAAACGTATTATAGTGAACATTTCGACCAAGTCAAAGCAGAGATGGAAAAAAGTCAATTTGATTTCTAAAGCCTTTGTAGGTGCATGGTTTTTTTTAATTTTATTTTAAATTTTGTTTGTGAGATTTTTATACCGAGTTTGAACAAAAAAAGGCTAGGAATAGCTGACGATTTTTATTTTTTATGAAAATGGCCACCAATTGGTTAAATTTGATCCAAATAAAAAAACTAACCAAGATGACATACAACCCATTATGTCTTGCATTTAAAAACAAAATTTGAACAAAAACAACAAAAGTGTACCTGAGAAATGTTTTTTTTTTTGTGCTCAACTGTTTATTATTTGCAATGTTGATCATATTACAATAACAAAACGAATATGTTGATATTTTTGTGTGCAGTATAACCCACCTTTAGGCAAACTGCTTGTCACTCTACTTTGATTCGCAGGACTGGGAAAGCTTTTGAGTATTGTAACGTCTTCATTGACTTTCCCACTATCAGTTGAAGTTCCAGGTTGTGGTGTGCTCTCCACATGACTGCTAGGTTTTTTCGATTTCTCCGTCTTGGGACTTTTCACTTTTTTGAAGGCACACTTGATGGCATTTGGGCTTTTGTCATCTCTGTTGTTAACAATGATCGCGCCATCATCATTATGTTCCGAGCTAATAACAGGAGGTGTATTGGAATCTGAAAGTGATCTCAACAGCTTGGGTCTGCAAAATTAGAGAATAAACAAAGCATTTTAAACACTATTATTTTTGAAAATATCAACATTCAAAAAATGTATGACCAAATTTTCTTGAAATTCAGGTGAATAATACACGTAGAATGCTGTTTCATGTTACCATGGAAATGAAATAAAAATAAAATTTTATTTCAGTGTAATTTCTCGCACCCGCCGACTTGTAAGCGCAAACAAATATTATTTTTATCTTCATTTTTTGACCGCCCGCCGCATAAAATATCCAAGTTGCATTTTTGTGGGGGTATCATGATCAAAGTACAGAAGTCTCGTGCAGATGAGAAACAAGGTTATACATGGAATAAAATTTGATTTCATTTCTTCTCTCTGATCTCACTCACAATTCTTTGAGAATCACACAAATCTAATAGAAAAAAAAAGTCTGGCCTAAATTTCCACAAACCTGACAATTTTTTATTGAAAATTTCCAGTTTCAAGAAAGTTTTTACTCGCTACAGACTGTGGCTACAGAGCAGTAACTATTATCTCGCATTTTAATGTTGATTTTATACAGGCACTTTTTAATTTTTGGGTACATGTATAACTCTGCTTCTACATTAAGAGTAAACTGAGCGTTTCTCTTTCCAAGCTAAACTCAAAAAAAATATTCAAACAATTCTGAAAAATTTCCAGAATGACCAGAAGCATAATTTCAACATTATGTAAATACAGATAAAAAATAAATGAAAACTATCTCACCTAATAGACAAGTAGTTTTTCACAAGATTGTCCAGTACCCTATTATTTCGGAGTTCTGGTTCCAAGACAGGCGTCTGACATGTGGGACATTGACTTTTATAATTCATAAATCTCCTGATACAAAGTGAGCAATCTATGGAAAAAGTAATCGCCATGACATGGTGGTATAAATGTAACATAGGACATGACGTGCTTTGAAGATGTGGTGATTTAGTTACATCTAATCTATTGGTACATGTACCTTCCTTAATCTATATTGGTACATCCCTTAAATGTATCTAGCATGTATTGGTTCTTTCCTAAACTCTATCTAGTATATTGCTACACCTCTAAATGTATACTGATACGCCCCTTAACTACATATCTTTTAATTAAATTTAGTTTATTGGTACACCCATTAATTACATCTAGTCTAATTGTAAGCCCCTTAATTACATCTAGTCTAATGGTAGGCCCTTTAATTACATCTAGTCTATTGGTAAGCCCCTTAATTACATCTAGTCTAATGGCAGGTCCCTTAATTACATTTAGTATATTGGTACACACCTTAATTACATTTAGTCTATTGGTAGGCCCCTTAATTACATTTAGTCTATTGGTAAGCCCCTTAATTACATCTAGTCTAATGGTAGGCCCCTTAATTACATCTAGTCTATTGGTAGGCCCCTTAATTACATTTAGTCTATTGGTAAGCCCCTTAATTACATCTAGTCTAATGGTAGGCCCCTTAATTACATTTAGTCTATTGGTAAGCCCCTTAATTACATTCTAGTCTAATGGTAGGCCCCTTAATTACATTTAGTATAATGGTACACACCTTAAATTA